CTGCCTGCCATGGCTGGTACTGTCACCATCCACCCTATGGACACTGTGCCGCCTGACTGGGATGACACAAAACTGGGGGATGTAAGTCAAGGGGGAAGCATGTCTCATGAGGAGGTGATGGAGGACCTGGGGGCAACAGAACCATCCCAGACCCCACAGGGAGGTGTTGGGGAGGAAGAGGATGCAACAAGAGTGCTGCCGTCCCCAGCGTCCCCCCCACCAACTCCTGAGCTTGCCAAGGAAAGCAACTGCACAGTACTGGTGCAAGGTGGGGTGTTGCCAGCAGCTTCCATGGGCAGTGGTGATGCTCTCCACACTGCAAACCCAACGGATGTGGGCATGGCTGATCTCAGCTCCCTGGAAAACATGAATGCAGTCACAGCAGAGGAGGGGAAGAGCATCCTGCCATCACATACGGAGGCTGCTGTGGTGACAGATACACAGTCTGATCTCTTTCCTACTCTGGGAAGCTCATGGAAAGGTAAAATTTGCCTGTTACAGACACTTGCCTTTAAATATAGGTTTAGGAGGGGTGCTCTTGAACATGTGCTTCCTTTCAGGAAGCTAAAGTGGAGAAGGGTGTGATCTTGATACCTGCAACAGAGGTGGATCACCCCTTCTCCCTCCCAGGAAAGGCTCTGGACCTTTGTATAGGGGTAACAGTCTAAACAAGTAACTGGCATCCATGAAGTGGTGCCTGGCCTTGGCTGTTCCTATACACAATGTTTCTGTGTACAGGTTGGCACAACTAGGGGGGTACCCTCTCATGAATGTTATGTGAAGCAACTGTATTGAGCTGCCTCTTCTGATCCTCAAGCTGACAGAGGGTGGCTGTGGTAGCAAACAGGAGAGCTGAGATGGGAAAGACTATGGCAGCTGAGCCTGGGGTTGAAGGGTGTGCTTGGGTATGGAGGTCTCTACAGAGAATTGGAGTCTTGTTGGCAGAGACTTGGTGCTGGTTAAAAAAAACTTACTGACTTGGTCAAGTTCTGCATGTGCAGTGTACTACCAAAGCAGGGGCTTCAGTGTTGGTGTTCACCTAGCAGTTGATAGGGGACAGCTGTAGTCTGGTTGTAGGTGTTTCATGTTAACCAGAGATGTAAATCTGCTTTTGAAGGGCACTCTGGTATAACTGTCCTGTGACTAGGGAGGGAGCCCAGCCTCCAACCAGCTGATTAAGCACTTGACTTCAAGGATAACACTGTCCCAAATGACCTTTTGATATGGCAAGTAAAAGGACACAAAGGTAGTCCTTGCACTAGCTCACTCTGAAGCCCTGCAAAACAGAGGGGGGAATAATTCCTGGGGTGTTTAATTAGCATTTGGGATCACTTGGCTCTCAACTGCTAGTTATGGATACTTGCAGTCAGTGCAGAAGATGCAGAGACAATGGATGGCTGTAAATGCTTCCTAAATCCAGGAATTAGGTGAGCTGTACCAGTATCCTGTGAGTAACTGACATCTGCCATGACTTTAAAAGGATGCTCAGATCAAAAGATCTGTCCAGAGCTCATGCTGTCCTTTGTAACAAAAGTTCCTGGTGTTGTCTCCCCACCCTGGAGTGAAGCTGTGGCCAGGCTCTGACTGTCCAGTGTCTGTGCCAACTCTGTTACCAGCAGGCAGAAGTATTCCTCCTAGACAGCCTGCTACAGGTTGGTGGTATCACCTTGTACTGTACTTACCTGTGGAGATGGCACCTTCAGCCTAATGACAATGTTTCTACTCTCTGTTTAAAATATAGGGGAAATGCTTAAAAAAAGAGACTGGTCAGGTGTTGGGCAATATATTCCTAGGCTGAGGAACTTGAGCTAGGATTTAGGACTTTGTTTTAATTGCTGGGCATCTTTAATTTTCCCTCTCAGGCTACAGAGGCAAAAGGACAACTTCCCCTCACTGCATTTGAAAGATCTAGCTTATGCTGTAAAAGAAGGAAAGCTAATTGCATGCTGGTGCTGAAACCTGACTGATTAATTTCTAGATTAATTTATAAGCACTTGACTTGTCAGCAGGTTCCCTCGCTGCTGTTTCCCAGTTGTTGGGGAAACAACACAATCAAGACTTGTGCAACAAAAATAAGCCCTTCTACAAAGCTGGAGTCTTGTAGCTGTGAGAGCTGGTCCCTGCACTGCTCTGGCAGCCTTGTGTCCTTCAAGTGGTATTTCACACCACAGGTGTGCAGTGCTGTACTCACTTGGCATTGCTCCCCAGTGGGTCCACGTGTCCCTAAGGGGCAATTAAAAAAAAAGAGGACTGATTCTGCTGCTTTCATTCCTGTTAAACACATTCTCACATCTGTCTTTCTGCTGCACTGTGTGGGTGATACTTGGTTGGACCTGCTGCTTGTGCTGTGGCTCTGGAAATCCTAATGCATGGAGTTTATATTCCTTCAAATGTCTGCTCTGCTGCTGTCAGCTGCCCTGTGAGTTGGTACTGATGTGTGTTCTTGCTGTAGGTGTCACTCAGGAGGTGACAACTGTTGCCCAGGAGGATGATGCTGCTCTGTCAGTTGCGATGCTGGTGCCTGGTGCTACCCAGGGAACAGAACCTGCAAGCCTTCTGCAGGAAAACAGTGGGGAAGACACCCAGATGCCAACTGCTCCTAGTGCCACCCAGATGCTGGTGGAAACTGGTACTTCCTCTATGGTGAACACTCCAGATGTAGAAGGTAGGGTTCTCCTTCAAGGACCATGGGTTCATTTCCACACAAAATGAGATGGTACATCTGAAAACAAGGTCAATACTTGGACACTGAAGTCTCAGCACACAGCATCCATATTCTATGTGACTTTTCTAGCCTTCTGCAGCCTGCCTCTACCCCTGGGCTGCCACTGCTTTCTGCCCATGCTACCAGATCCACCATGTTGAAATATGCCAGCATATGTGTTTTGCCCCAAGTAACAGTGAAGTAGAGATTTAAAAAAAAATCACCCCAGAGCAAAACCCCATATCTGTCCTTGCTAGCAAGCTGACTTTTAGCCTTAGATATTTAAACTGGGTTTTATTTGTGGAGAGTGCTCTTACTTCTGGAGCCAAAGACAGTTAGATTGCTGATGCTCAGTCCAAAGGATGAAAATGTTTCATCAGGGTAACATGGGAGCAGTGGCAGGGGGGTAGACACCCTTTTGCAGGAGTCTGGCAAGCCCTTGAGTGTGGAAGCTGGCATGGATGTTCACTTCCATTAAGGAATGGTGAGGAGTTATCAGGTTGATGTAGCTCACATGGAAATGCTTTAAGCAGCTGTGTTCATCTAACTGCTGCCTACTGGCTTGATGTCACCTTGGCAGGTCCATGTAGGAGGCTGACTCCTTGGCAGGAGTGTAGCAAGGGTTCCCTTGCACTCAAAGTCAGCTTTGTGCTATTTCTGTAGCAGTAGGTACTGCTGTAAGAAACTGCTGATGGGCAGCTCTTCTGGCAATTCTTATATTGCAGGGCATCAAAAGAAAAAAACTATTTGCGTTATCTCTTAATTTAAGGTCCCTTTGTAGGAAAGAGAAGGCTCTTCAGGCAGTTTCCGCTAATTAATTTGCTTCTGGGATTTCATTATAAATCCAACTAGTTTTTATCTTTGCAATAAACGCTTAGATCTTTCACACTCAGTTCAGATCTCAGCCAGTCTCTCAGTGCTCTCATCTTGCTATGGGGTGGTGACTAGCAGTCCTCAAAGCAATGGAAGTAAAACCTGGTTGAGTTCTCATTAAGGGAAACCTCCTGTGCTCTCCTCTCCCAGAGGAGAAGCTTTCATTACAGCAGTCGCTTACATGTCTTGAAAGAGGCAAAAGTTTAACTTGTGGCACTCTGAGTTAAGTTTTCATTAAGAATTTTGTTCTTAAATGGTGAGTTTTTTAATATTGTTGTGCCAAACTGCTGCTTCCTGTCTTCTGTAGATCTCTCAGATGTGGTCCTGGTCACCAGCGAGAAGGCTGTTCCAGTTCCTAGTGGGTTGTCTGCTACCCAGTCTGGACAGACAGAGGAGCCATCTAGTGGAACTGTGGTCCTGGTAACTCCAGCATCAATGGCATCTTCTGTCAGGAGAACAGCTTTTCCTTCTGTGAGGAAGATCAGTACAGCGGTGACCTATGGGCTGGACCGTCTGGAGTCAGAAGGTACCACTGATCCCAAGGCTAAGAGGCGGGCAGTTTCATGCGGAGTGGCACGCTTGCCTTGACACTGAGCTCCCCAGTTTGTCTGTTTGGCATGCAGCTATGTGCCTATGTTATTCATGAAGTTGTTGAACAACCTGTTCCTGTACAGGAAGCAAGCAATAAACAGTGTCATGAAGGTTGCCTGAAGTTCAAGCAGCTGTGGTGGGAGGGATGGGGTTTTTCCTTGGAGCGGGAGCAGCAGTGGTATTGCTGTTGCAGTAGAGTCTGGCTCTGTGCACCTGTAACTGTTGCTGTGTGCATTGATTGCAGAGCTTCTGTACCAGGTAGTGCTCATGGGAACACGTTCAGACAGCAGGAGAGCCCTTGCCACCCTACGGCTGAAATCCTCACCATGTGCAATGCAGGGGGATGTTCAGTATGAGATGGCTACCTCAGTGTCCAGCTGGCTGAAACCTTGCCAGGACAAGTGACACCCTATTTATACACTCCCTATGTGATGCTGCTGGGAGAGGTGAAGGATGCACCAATGAGATGCTCTTCCAAATCAAAGCTACCTGCTAAACTGCTGTCTCATCACTGGCTCCTCCAGTCTTGCCTCACCCTTTGGGCTCCCTTCTCGTAAACTGCTTTTGCCCACTGCTGGTCTTGGAGTCTCTACTACCTGACTGTCTTCAGACAGTTGGAACCCAGTGATGTAAATTCTGACTGGGCAGACATCCATCAAGAGAGTTTAGGTGAAGATCTTACTCTGGAGTTGGTCTGCAGCTGAGGTGTTATCTCTTCAGCTCATCCATGATTTTCCTGTAGAGAATTGTTTCACCTCATGCTCTTTCTCCTGCTTAAACTCTTGTCTACTTGCTCATCCATCCAGTTTTGTACTCCAGTGTCTGGACTGACACCACCTGGCAGAAATTAATCCTTCTGCCTGTTTTGCTCCCTTTCCTTTATCTTGACCTTCTCCTGCCTTAGTATTTTACTTCAAAGGTTGGCAGCTCTCCAGGGGTGGCATGCCAGATGGCACTTCTCCTCTGATTAGAGGTGGGGTGCCATAGACAACAGCTAATCAGCATCTTTTCTCTGCATGAAGCAATAACTCTCCCTCCTGTTAAGTTTAGAGGGCAGCAAAAGCTGGGAGCCTTCCCCACTGCATGTGTGAGGTGCTGCAGCTCCTGCCCTCTGTCAGGCTTGCTGCTTGCCTTGAAGCCTGCCATGAGCTCTCTGGGCATCCAGCTACAGCCCTTGCCAGGATGAATCTTGCATGTGTCTGGCAATGCTAGGATGTGGTGCTGATGATGGGAGAGTGGCAGCAGAGGAAGAAAGGTATGTGCTGTGGAAAACCTGATTTTTCTGACTGGAAAATAAGGTCTCTGTTTAGCAAGAGGAGTATGATTTGGGAGGCTAAACTGTTTGAGTCCTCTGGGATCTCCTTTAGAAGCCTGGTTTTCTGCACAGGAAGATAAGAGGGATTTCTGTTTCAACTGAGCATTGGTCTCTCCCTGTTTAATGAGACTTTCTGTGTAGGTGTTTGAAAAACATCTTTCTGCTCTGACATAGGACTGCTGCAACTTTCTTGGTTCCTACTGGGCTCTTTGCAACCATGGACCTGTTTTCTCTGCTCTTGAATACACTCTGAGCTCCTCCAAGGGCAACTGCAGGCTGTAGCTGGGACTAGCTTTCCCTTTCCCAGATGATGATGATGACTCAACTAGAAGACTGTGGGTTTCTTGGCTCTGGAGTATGGCTCTGCAGGTGACTGTCATCCAAGGGATATGATGCTTTCTGGTGTGCTGTGTGGTGGTTTGACAACCAGCACAGCTTTTGTGGTCTAAATATCTTCTGATTAACCTAGACCTTAGTGCAGTGAGCGAGAATTTTCCCTGGTGTTAGGGATCACCAATCCACATCTTGTAAAATGGGACAAATACCACTTGGGGATAGGCTTTCTGCGTGGGGATGCCACTGCCCCAATTAAGCACAAAGGAAGCTTTTGAGCTGTGACTCAACTTTCTAATATATTTTTTCTCTGTATAATGGCAATTAGGGGGTACCACACCCTCATGATGGAGTGGCATTTGGAAGCTTGGTTTCTGTTCCCACAAAATTACTAGGTTCTGAGTGCTTACTCCCAGAACATCTAGATTATGCCAGATACAAGATATTTGGGAGTGCTTTCCTATAAAGCTGTACTGAGCTGCAGCCTGGGGTTTTCAGGCTCTAGGGAGATGGCAAGGTCAGACATAACTCCTGTTGCAGTCACATGCTCGGGTCTCTAATGAGGGATCCTGACCTTTTGTGGGGAGGCTGTGCCTTGCTCACCAGTGGAAGTGTGAGGAGCTGGGTGAGCCCAGCTGGTCTCCACTGCCTTCAGTGGGGCTTGCTGACTTGCCTCTCTGAAGGCCTGGCTCATCATTAAATATAAACCCCTGCTGTTCAGCTAGTTCTGTTTCTTGGGGACCATCTGTGCCAAACTACCTGCAGTTAATTGCATCAGTATATTCACCTACCTGGCTTGGATGCAAAACCGTTTAAAAAAAAATCAAACTGCACAGACAAACATGAGGTGCTTTGAATATGTCTCTAGAGGAGCTTATCCTCTGTAGTGGAGAGATGAGCTGGGTAACAGATATTCTCCTACCTTGACTCTGTGGTGATACTGGTTCTACTTGCCCTTCCTAGCTGGAGAAATCCTATAAAGGGATTATAGGATATAGGGACAGGACAGAGCAGAGGATGAGGCTTATTTGTCTGGGAGACTTTATATATTTTGTTCCCGTGCTCTGAATTTTGGGTGTCTCTCTAGCAAGCTAAACACTGCAGCTTTCTCTGTAGGGCTTCTAGGATCCGAAGACAGATAATCTAGTTCAGCTTGACTACTCAGGACCACTATGTAAGCCTCCCAACACACTTTGAAAAGTGGCTTTTAAAAGAAACCATGTTTCTTTTGGACTAGATTCCTTTGTCATAATATCCACCATGGTAGGTATGGGTAGAGATGGCTGCACTCCATAAGCACGGCAGCATTTGGCAGGTATAACTCTCCAAAGTGGCAGGTAGCCTGCCATGTTCCCTTTTCTGCAAGATCCTTGAAATGTTTAGTTGAAACCTTGTGGACAGAGCACAGCTGGCTCCTCTTGGTGGTTCCTTAAGCAGTTCCTGTCACTGATCTGTATGGGATGTGGCCCAGGGATGCACTGAGGCTAAGCAGAAGGTAGGTTAGTGCACTTCCTATGAGGACATTGAAGGTCATCTCATCCTTATGTGCTAATCCTAAAGCAGCAGTTAGTACAGAACAAGCCTGATGCTAAGTGATGCCTCACCCATCACAGGCCAGTTCACTGTGAACAGCTTACAGCACCATCACCTGTGGCTGTTGGTGAGGGTGGGTCTGTATCTGTTGATGCAGACTCAAGGTTTGGTTTTCTTGTGTGCCACAACTCTGCCTGGACAGCAAAAATTCAGCTGAAATGGCTCCATGGTGATTGTGGAGAAAGGCACAGGGGATAGAGAATGGGAAGATGTCTTGGCACTCATCACATTGTGCTAAGATTAACCTCCTTTGACATGTGGGGCAGATGTCACTGTGTCAACCTTCCAAGGCTGCTGAGATGCAGAAGTAACAGCTACCTTTTGATGCACCTGTGTTTCAACCCACAAGTCTGTAGAAGCCTTTAGCTGTTAGATCATGATGTACTGCCCTTGCTGCATCCAAACTCATCAGAAAAACAGTTTAAGCTCAGAGATACTCATCCTCTGCAGCTGAGTAGGCTCCAGCTTGACCCACTTGAGCATTAACTTGGGATTTAGAGGCTGTTTACTTGTAACTTTAGGATCTTACTACTCTCCTGTAGGGTATTACTTGGTGTTTCTGATTTGCCTATCCTGTTTTTCTGTGTACCCCTTCCACTCCCCAAAAAATCCAAAAGTGCTCTGCAACAGTGTGTAAACCCTGAGGCTTGTTCCTGTTCAGTCACCTAGGCTTGCTTCAAGCTGTTACCGCTGGGGATGAGCTGCTTACACAGTTCAGCTGTCATGTAGGCTTCTGGATGTGGAGGGTGCTTAGAGCTTTATAAGAGCAGGAGATGCTCTACCTGTTGCGTGGTGTCAGGAGCAGTCAATAGCTCTGTGAAAATGGGAAACTTAAACTCAGCTGCTCTAGAGGGAGGAGATCTGAAACATGTAGCTCTTGAATGTGAAGTGTTCCTCACCGATCAGGCTGGCTCTCAACCTGTAGCTGGCAGAATCCTGGTCTGTAGGATGGAAGGGTTGGAAAGGCAGTGTCAGATATCTGCTACCTAGGACATCACAGTGCTGTTTCCAGTACTCTTCCTGGTTGGCTGGTGTGTCCCTATCTAATACAGCATTTGGCTGTGGAGAAGCCCCTCAATGATGCTGAAACATGGCTGACACGATCCTTGGGATCAAACTCCAGTGTCCTGCAGTCATGGGGCACCTCCCCTCTGAACCTTGGCTATGGGCTTCACTGTTTGCTGTCTACTGTGTTAAAGGCTGTTCCAGAGCAGTGCCACTGGGAAGCTTTAGGTTTTCTGACCTTAACATATTAGTGATATTGTAGTATCTACTTGTGTATGGATTTAAACAGTTCCTATTGTTCTTTGCTGACCTGCATACTCAAGTTTACCCTTCCAAGGAAACCAGAGCTTAACTGGTTTCAGTGAGAAGAGCTCTCCTAGTCCTCTTCTCCATTCTCTCCTATTTTCCCTGCTTCCCTGCACTTGCTGCTCTTGTACACTGACATCTAAGCTGTATGTCGTTCTTCAGAAGTAAAGGCAGTCGATGCCTTTTTTCAGAAAATACTTCAGAACTTGTAGCCATTTACATAATTTTATAAAAGACCCTTCAAATTCTCCTCACATTTTTCTTCTGAGCTGTGTCACAGTACAAGGAGCCTTCTTTTTTTGGATGTGAAGAGAATTTTTGCAGGAAATCAAGTCTCTGACTGGGATTGCTATTTGGACCCTGACTGTATGGATTAAGACCTG